GTTTTCGTCTCTCTGGCATGAATCAGAATCAAACAGCTGAGGAAATTCAACAATCTTCATCTTCTTTTCGAGATGATGTTGAATTTAGGAAGCGTGGCCTGCAAGTTGTTTCAGGATTGAGTGGGGAGCTCACCAGTGTAAAGAAGGCTGCCGCTATGGATTCAGAAGTACTGAGCAAAGAAGTTGCAAAAATTGCTGGAGGAGTTACAAAAATAGCAGAAGTTATAAAATTAATTGAAGAAAGTGCATTGAAGGATGGTAGCCACAAGTTCTCTGAGTCCATGAGTGGGTTCTTAAAGAAGGCAGGGGAAGAGATTGTAAGGATTCAAGCTCAAGAGAAACTCGCATTCTCTTTGGTAAAGGAATTAACAGAATATTTCCATGGGAACTCAGTGAAGGAAGAAGCTCATCCGTTCCGAATTTTCATGGTGGTGAGAGATTTTCTTTCTGTTCTAGATCAGGCATGCAAGGTAGTCGGCAAAGTTAATGAAAGAACTATAGTTGGGTCAGCCCGTCAATTTCCAATGCCTGCCAATCCAACCCATCCGCCAGTTTTTCCTGGATTCAGTGCAAAGCAGCAGCAGCAGCAGCATTATGGTTCCTCAGATGAAGAAACCTCACCATCTTAGTGTTTGATTTTATGCTGTGTTGATGGGAAAGGATGAGCATGTATCTGGGGCTGGAGCTTTTTTGCTGAATCTTACAAGTTGATCTCGTCTTTTTGGGTTGAGCTGGGCACCCTTCCTCTACTTACATATTTATACACACACAAGATTTTGGAATTGTTTATCTTGTGTAATATATATATAGAGGGGAATTAGATCATCAGAATCAGAAGATAATAAAATTGCAGTGGCACAATTATATTTTGTTTTGATCTAATGTAAATTTGTTAGTTGTATTTAAAGCTTGTGGTTCAGTATTTATTCCCAACTCTCTCTCTCTCTCTCTCTGACACTTACTTTTGACTTGAAATATTGGAAAGACCAACTTTCCCTTCCCACAGTATATAAATCATGCATCCAGGCAGGGCACGGGACAGGGATAAAGCGATTGTCAATGGAAAATTCATACCATCGAACCCTACTAATTTAGTAGCTGCTTCCTCTCCTACAATAGATCGATGCCGATGCCCTTATTTGAGTTGAGTGATATAATAAATGAATGCTCTAACTAAGGGGATGCCTTACAGAAAGAAAGCATTCAATAGCGTAGCAGTAGATATGGAGGCCAGTAACTCAAACTGTGTTCAGCAATAATTATTACAACACTTGATGTGATAGCCCATTTATTTATTTATTGGAAGGCTCTATTTATAGAAATAAATAAAACAACTGGATGAAGCTACAAGGTTTTCAAAATATACAAAATTTGCCAAACAATTTGTTGCCCTCCCCAAGTATACACAAGAATGACATTGCTTTTGAACCCCGCCCAAAAGGAAAAAAAGACATTACTTGATTATAGTCTAGAGCTGTTTGATTTTCACTGATGCTTGCCTTGCCTCCTTGCACGTTCACGATGCAACAAACTGGGATTTCTCTTCAGCATCCATACGTTCAATCACCCGGCGTGCTTCCTCTACTGTAGCAGGAACAACATTCCGAATCCGGATCCCATCTTCCATGGCTTCAGGAGGGGCAGAGAATGTGAAATAGAATTTGTTTGATACCTGTTCAAATATATATATATATATATATATATTATATATCAGACATGAACCTATCTACATATTCCCCAGACCCCCAAGCATTTGTAGAGCAGAAATAAGGATTTCATTTGAAGATCTTATTTGACAGAGATTTTCTCAAAACTAAACCCACTCATTCCTTTACACTCGTTTTTCTATAACCTTCTTGATTATATTATCTTCCTGGGTTTGCTGGTTTGCCTTATTTCGGTGACAATGAATAGATTCATTTCACAGGCCTTGTGCAAAAGCTTCCTTCAGCATGTTTTTGTTAAGTCACGTGCTCACCTCACTAGACCTAAGCTCAGGCTGTGTCACATGAGCAACGACTTCCACGTTTATCAGAGGTTCAGCTGGGTTCTCAAGTTCTGTATAGAGAACACAAGACTTCAAACGTAGGAAGTTTCCTACATCCACCTGCATCAGCAAAACAAATTTGTGGTTCATTAATCCCCCCAACATGTACCAACATTTGATGAAATTTTGTATTCATTTCTGCCTGATAATGCAAGTTGGGGAAGTGACAACTTTTTCTGTTCAAAGACTGAGTTCTGTACTTGAATGGAGTTGCATAAACTCTTTCTTTTTCAAGCAAATCTAGAAAAAAATATACTGTATTTAACCTCTTAGGGAATTATAGCATAAATTCGGAGCTGCCAAAAGTTACTAGGCGATCACACCTTTATTTCAGTTCACTTGCATCCTCAAACAATCTTTGAAGACAAAAGATGCAATATAATGGAGGGTAGCCATCAAAGGTGCTATTTATCTCGTAATAACTCTCTTGCCTAACAACTGACACTTCAAAATGAGTGGTCTATCAGTTCCGTTTTAGTCCAAGATGCTATTTTGTAAATGACATTCTCTTGTCAAGCCATGATCACATACAAAGAGAAAATAACAAAGAGTGCAGACCAACTAGTGCTCATGTTTGCTCATAGTACAATCAATAAGATGTGATAGTTTTCAATCTTAAACAAGTATGTGTATGTATGTATTTATAGTCCGTCTTATGCTTCAATAATACTTATGCAGCATGCCATGTCTCTACACACACAAAGAGAACTAAAAAACGTTCATAGTAGCCAGTTCAAAAGATTTTTATAGGCAAAAGGCTCAGTTACTTACAGGTCTAACAAAATCAACATGATCAACTTCTAGAAAGTGTGGTGCTACACCAGCAAATGCATACGTTGTTGAGAAGGCCAGTTCAAATGCTCTTCGCATTAAAAATCCTCCAAAGATCCGACCATGGATGTTCCTTTGCTGTGGCTGGCAAATAAAGGAGTTCTCCAGGCACGTATCCCTAATAAGAATGCTATCTCGGTCTGCCAGTGCTGGCATGTCGCAGAAAACTCGACCTTCGGCTAACAAGGCATTGAATCTGTTTGCGTCTTGGTTTTCAATATCTGTTTTATGTGCTCCTCTCTTCTTTTTCCTCATTTTGTTCCTCTTATCTGCCTCTTCCCAAAGCAATTTTTCCTTTTCAGTCTCAGGTGAGATTTGGTTAACCGGAGCAGATTTTCCAGTCTCAGAATCACGGGCCACAAATGTGAAGTTTGCTATAAGAGCAATGGACTCTGATGGGTGTGGGGTTCCTACAAGTCAAGTTTTCATAGTCAGCACTCGGCACAACAACAAATTAAAACTAAAATCATGATCCTTAGATCTTATGAGAATGAGAGATATTTAGCAACAAGAAACTAAAATATTTGTTATATATTCTTCAGTACCATGCATGGATTGAGTGACTTCCAGTTGAATCTCCATGGATGATTTCCCAACCCATGCAACAGCACCACCTAGATTCAAATCAGTGTCAACACGGATAGGTTTTTTCAGAACCATCTTGTCAACAGAAGCAGTCACCAATAGTAGAGGCCTCGTTGCGCCATCTTCATTGCAGCAGTGCTAGTCAGCAGGTGAATGAGTGAAGTTAAAAAACTATGATTTTCAATGAAGTGGCAACAGACAACACTCAAAAGGTTATGGAATCCCAAACCAACCTCTAATTCAAGGAAATCCCTTTATGCAGAATGCTAATTAGAAGTTAGAACCCAGTTAGGGAAAAAAAACTTTGTTAGTAGCTTTTTCTTCCAATCCAAATCCCAAACAACAAAATTCAAACAAATACATACTCAATTGCATTTATGTAAAAACACGAAACAGAGCTTATATTAGATGCCTCAAGTTAATACCTTGAATGCAATGGTTCCAGCAAGAGCATCGAGATCCTCAACCAACTTCCCCATCCTAATCTCATTCCAAGGGTTCCTGTATTGCTCTCTGAGTTTATAATCAGATGAAAACTTGTAGAGAATACTAGTCCGGCTCTGCGCCGGAGTTCTCGCCACCAATTCACTCTGTGGAGGAGCGTCAATTGGCGGTTCCCCGAGTTTCTCATACATTTTTGATCTTGCTTCCCAGAGAGCATTTGTTACAGGTGAATGGTACATTCCGGGCCATAAACTGATCGGTTTTCGGATTGAAGAGCCTGCATCAATTGGCTGTGAACTATCATATGGTGAAGTTACGGTGGACACAGCTGGGATTGACTCTGAAGAAAGCGGTTCAGCTGGCTCCGCAGAATCCAATGGTTTGGAACGTGACGGGTCAGAATTTGCAGTTGACAATGGCCTGTTTGGTATTAGTCTGTATAAAATTGGACCATATTTGGTGGCTCTAGAAACTGATTTTTCTTGCTTTGGAGATTTAGGCGAGTGGGTATTGATAACATGAGCATCATTGTTAAAACAGGATTTAGAACCAGCATATAACACTGACCTGGTTTGAAGGAATGCTGGTGAAATAGGATCAAAAGGTGCGATTTTGAATATGGGGTTTGCTTGTTTTGGTGAATTTGATATCTGGGTACTGCTTGTTTCAGATTTTGTTGAGTATGAAACAAGTGCTTGGAGTGATGAAGATTTGAAATTGGGTTTGAAGAGGAGGTGGGGAAGTGGTTTTCTGAGTGGTGTCATGGTTCCCAAGTGAATTGGATTGGAAAAAGATACAAAAGCTCCTGACTTTGATCGGAGTTTGTATATGTGACCACAATCGTCAATCGAAAGGGAGAATGTGTCACAAATTATATACAGAGAGGATCTCAGATTCTCTGTATCTTTTAATCAGGGCGGGTAGGATCTGTTTATGCTGTTATTGGTTGGCTGGGTTCCATTTTGTGTAGGCCAGGTGGAAATTCATTTCTTGTGAAACCTCGACCCAAGTTTGACCAAGAAAAAAAGAATATGGGCGAATGCACGAATAAGGCCCAACGACTGCGGTGGGCTTACAAACAGACCCCAAGGTCCAAACTCCCACCGTAATATATAAGCAGTCAGGGCTTCCCGGTTAGTTTGTCACTGTCTTTCTCGCGCTCTCTCAAAGTTCAAGCTCCGGAACCAAAAAGGTGTGTGCTTGATCCGCATCTTCTTCTTTATCTTTCATAGCACTTTTGGTCTTTTAGTCGTAGCTCTTATATGAACTCCTTTCGTTGTTCTTGTTTACATTTATTAAAGAATTTTTTGAACTTGCCCTTTAGGGTTTCTTGAATTTGATCTATTGTCTGAGTAAGGTTACTGTTGAGATATTTATGACGATGAAAATGCAATTAGGCCAAACTCAATATGGGCATAAATGTGTTAAGTGATTTTCGGTGAAGAATTTACAGAATTTGTTGATAATTTTGTTGATACCATGGGGTTTAGGTCTAGCTTTTTTGTTAATTTTTCTTTTTTAATTTTAAAAAAAAAAGAAAAAAGAAATATCCTTTGTTTGTGTAATCAATTTCATTTCATGGGACTGTTTCGACGACATATATTCTATAATCAAAAGGATGACTTTTTTAGCACCCTTTTAGGGCTGGAATCAAGTGTGTGTTAGATGCTTATGTAGACCTGTATATGGAATCCTCGTTACTTAAAAGTGTTGTAAGTTCACTCACAGCACAATATGTTGCTGCAGAAGGAGGTTGGAGAGGTGTTCATATCTTAACAAAATTGTTTGTATGATGTCAAATGCCATCTTATTCACTTAGGCATATGGTAGGATCGTTTGGAATATTGCCTTTTGACTGATGAGCTTTCTAATTGATAATTGGGTGCCTTTTAGATTAGTTTGGTTTAGTTAGCTATTCCTTGAGCTATGCAATCAGTTGAGTGGCAATCTGCTTTTCTTAAACATTTCTTTTTCTCTGGTGTTTGTACATGGATTGAAAAGTCTGTAAAAAATTTGTTGTCTATTGTTTTCTTCATAGATGGTGTCAGCGTTACTATTAACTGAGTTAATAATCTGATACCAACAAACTAGGATTGTTTGCTTGGATGGGCTTGTTTTAAAGTCACTCAGTTCTGCTCAGAACGTATTCAGGGGCTTTTGTGCTGGCAAGATTGGTTGATGTATCTGTCCTCTACAGTAGCTCTGGTTTTGCGAATCTTTATGATATGTATTCGTCTTTCGGTGGCTTGTGTTTATGTGTTGTTACATATGTGTTCTTTTACTTTATTTTCTTGACTGTTTGAATTTGTTTAACATTTGATATCATTTCAGGGGGTGTAAGAAGTTAAGATTTAGGATAGAGAAGATGAGTGGAGGGGGAGAGAAAGGGACAGGAACCACAAAAACTCCTGCAGATTTCCTTAAATCAATTCGTGGGCGACCAGTTGTTGTTAAACTGAATTCTGGTGTTGACTATCGAGGTCCGTTTATGTAATCCTTTTTTCATGCCTATAGGTTTTTCTTTTCTTGTATTCTCATGACTTTGTTTTTGTTTCTGGGTGTTGATTCAAGATGCAGGGATTAGCCCTTTTGATGTCTTAATTTTCTTATGCAGGTATTCTTGCTTGTCTTGATGGTTATATGAATATAGCGATGGAACAAACAGAAGAATATGTCAACGGACAGTTGAAAAATAAGTATGGTGATGCTTTTATTCGTGGAAATAATGGTAATGTTCTATGAATTATCTTGTCATATTTCTCTTGGTGTTGTTACCTTGGTTAAAAGAATAATTGGAATTTCTTTTTCTGTTTTGGCATTGATGCAGTTCTGTACATTAGTACGACGAGGAGGAATTTAGCAGATGGTGCATAGCATAGTATTGTGATGTTATCAACCCGTGTAGAACATCTCTGCTGTCATGCTTAATGCAATTGTGTTGTAATGTAAACTTACGTGGAGCTTTTTATGAGAAGGAAGTAGAACTAACTACCCTACTCAATACATTTTTTTGAAAAATATTTGGTCTTGAATGAGTGAAGAAATTATCTGAAGACTGATCATTAATTATTATTATGATGAATGCTTGTCATATTCTCACCGAAGCCTGGCATATCAGGGGAATGCTTGATGATGATTCATAAATCGTAGTGAATTTGTTCCGAGGGCTCTAGTTGTTTTGAGGTCACTGTCAGTACTAAAAGGTTTACATAAAACACAGAGCAGAGCAGTAGAAAATGTGCTTTGCTAGACTCATGTTTGAGAGGCAAACTTCTATGCGTAAGGTTATAACGTTTTCAGTAGCCGTAGGTAGCATTGAAGCTCAATTCGGTTGTTGTTCAACAGCATAAAGAATCTCATACTCGTCATCTAGTTGAAATCCCTCCAAGTCAATAGCCTCAGTTAGAAATCATATGCTTATTACATTTACTTGACACCCCCCACCCCACAAAAGAAACAGACGATTCTTGATACATTTAAATTTAATTGATAAATAAAAAAGATACGATAAATCATTCTTCAGTTGATACATTTTGCTTTGAAATGCTAGAGGTCATAAGAAACTTGCACGCCGACCTGAGATTGGTCCCAGCTTTGCTGCTACCACCTTACTCACCAACAACTTCCATTTAGCTTCATCTTTCTTGGTCTGCTGCTGCATTTTTTCCTTGAAATGCCTGAAACCACAGAGAGTAATTATGCAAAAATCATTTCAATCATAGTGGCACATGGCATCCATATTACTGGCAGCAACACCAAAGTCCCACAGGATTTCTCATGCTTACCTACACAAAGGGACCTTGCATGAATCAGGCTCATCGCAAATACGAGAATGCAGTTCAAGAAGCTGCCACATGCGCTTGCAGTGAGCACATCCACCAGGAACCCGGGTTTTACAGCTGGAGAAATGACGAACTAAGGTCTCAAGCCCCTTGCAAGCAGGAAAATCACAAGCAACCTGGCTTCCTCTGAACACCTTGTCACGGGGACCTATGGTCCTACATCCATCCCTGCATATGTGAAGGAGGGCTTCCATTGCCTCGTACAGTTGCAAGTACACTTTTCTCTCTTCCTTTTTCCTCAACCTCTCTTCTTTCCTCTGGCACAAAAAAGTTGAATCTAAGATCCCAAATTTAAAGGAGTGAACTAAAAGAGTACTGATGACTTTACGCTTGCATAAACATTCAATTAGATACTAAAACACCACCTTGTTGAAAACGTAAAAGGTTTTCTTTTTACAAAAACAAAAATGTATCTCCCCCCCACCCCACAAACCATACAGAGGTAAGGTAAAATCATTGAAAAAGGAAACAGAAACCAGCTTACAGAATCTGCTTCAACAACAGCCTCTAGCAGCTCTTGTTCAAGTGCAGGATTAACTTGCTTCATCACTTTCCAGCCTTCAGTTGATGATATGGCTTTAAAGTCCTTCACAACCATACGAATACAAATTAAGGAGAGCCGTGGTGCATCACAGTTCCTCGCCAATTGAAGCACATCAACCACGTTTTCTTTGCTTAGCCATCCTTGCTCAAGAAGATATATACAAACTCTTTTCAGTGATGGAACTGAGTAGGAGTGTGACAAAACCAACAAATGGGGAACAAATTTCTTCATCTCTTCCTTTTCATAGCTGCATAAGACACACAAGAAAATATTGTAAGAAATTTAGCTAAAATAAGCAATTAATCATTGGAAGGGGATAGCTTACTGAACAACATAATTCCAACATACCAGGATGAGTAAAGAAAACGAATGAATGTGTAGACAGCTTCATAAGGTACCCCAGGGATCTTAATGTATCTCATGCCATTTTTAACTTTTGATTGCTGCAAGAAATTACCTAGCACCGGTGATGCAATGCTCTGCACATTCAATATAAAAGGAAAACCTTTAAGCCACATCCAGAAATTTCATCGAGGATTTTCTATTGATGAAACTATGGGATCAATTCAATTAACTCACCAGAACACTAAAATGAGCTGGAATATATGATTCATCCTCGGTGAAAATATAGACATCAGCACCATATCCATCTTTAAAAAGCTTGTCCCATGTATCCATTGTTTCCTTTGGGACAGAGCAACTCCGTGAGAGCCTTTTGAAATATTTGTTCCCTGAATAGGTTTTACTAGGGACAGGAGGAGGAGGTTTTGGGATATTATGGTTATAGGACACAGAAGAGGTTGGGTCTTCCAGAACAGGTAAAATTTCGTCTGGAATCTCTCCCTCTATACGTATATTGAAAGATCCACAAAATGAATCGCTAGGTGAGGATGGCCAGGGTGAGTCAAGAGTAGGTGAAGACATTGGCTATTGTAGTTTGTCTAAAATAACTATATAAAAAAAAGTATGGATAGAAGATCTGCACACAAAGAAAAAAAGAGCTTATGAAAAATGCAAGAATAGTTTTGAATGTTGTAGAACACAAACGGAATTAGATCATAAATGCACCAATTATATTAATATGAAACAGTGCGTGGAATGCTTCTCGTACAATACTTATGCAACAGAAGATACCTGGGTATAAGATCTATTTATAGGTGTCTGTGGCCTAAATGGTATCTCATGGTTGGATCAAAACATAAAAATCCACTTGGGAAGGAATGCCAACAACTGCTAATGAAAGAAGCAAAAGACTTCAAAGTGCCAAAGAGGAAAAGAATCATTAACAAGAAGCCTTTCTTGGCTTGTAGACCAGTTCCAAAGTTACTTGAGAAATTGAGGAACCTCTAGCATGCCTAAGTTAGAGTTTAGAAATTTCTTTTGTCCCAATCTCAAACCAGCGATGCAGGAAAGATATGCTCCCAAAACTAGAATTACTGCTAAAAACTTTGCCACAGTTTACAGGAAACAAGGCATCCACCAATTGAGAGACAATAGTAAAAGCTTTTAACTTCAACCGTAAGTCTAAGAAAATCTGGAATCATACCTTAAATATATAAAAAAGCAAACCTTCTCACAAAAATTCGAGATTTGCGCCGATCTTCCCCACAGACCAATCACTGATGCTACAAATACATTCAATGCCGAAGAAACTGAAACACAGAAATTGACAAAATATTAAAATTCAGAATAAATCCTCACAGGAATTATGTAGTATTCTGCTCAGGCAATCATCTACTCAAATTCAAAGCAAAAGTTTGAACTAAAATCGTCAAGGATCAAAATCTGAAGAGAAAAGGTCGAATAAGAAAACTTTCCACATAAAGAGTGTTTGTTAGGTGGGAAAAGAAAATAATATTCAGAGCACCCGAAATGAAGAAGAGAAATTGAAGGATATGAAATATCATACAGGTGATGAGAGCGGTGGGATTGGATGAAGGAGTAGTGTTGAGTTGAGTTGAGAGGCAGAGCAGAGAGAGAGAGCTGGTATAGTCTAGAATGCAGAGGAGAGGAGAGAGAGAGAGCGCGATGGACGTGTGTCTTCTCCTAAAATATATACGAGGGAGGGGGAACATATATATATATATATATATATATATATATATATATATATATATTGGGATGTGTATCCCTTACTTGGTATATAAAAACTTTTTTTTT